CTATTTCTTAGCGCATTTGAGGTTTTAGAATTTCTCCAGCTCAACTATTTTGTCCTGAATTTTCTAATCTTGATTTCAGGTCACTATAGGTTTAACGTTAATGAAGATGTTTTGAGGTGAGGATTCCCAGGGTCTTACCACAAGGAATTAACCCCTTAAGGACTGGACTGTTTTTGCGATGTTGTACATTTGCGACCAGGCATATTTTTACACTTTTGTGGTGTTTGTGTTTGGCTGTAATTTTCCGCTTTCTCATTTACTGTTCCCATACAAATTATATATTGTTTTTTTCAGGACAAAAGGGGCTTTCTTTACATACCATTATTTATATAATCTCATGTATTTTAATTTAAAAAAAATACAAAAATCTGATGAAAAATTGAAAAAAATACATGTTTTTTGACTTTTACTTGAAAAATCTTTTACTCATCTACAAAAGCGAATGAAAAAAACTGCTAAATAGATTCAAAATTTTTGTCCTGAGTTTAAAAATACCTAGTGTTTACGTGCTTTTTTGCTTTTTTTTGCATGTTATAGGGCTATAGGTACAAGTAGGATATTGCGGTTTCAAAACATACATTTTAAAAATTTATCAATAGTGACATTGTAACACTATTATCTGTCATAAATCTCTAAATAACACCCCACATGTACATATTTTTTTTAAAGTAGACAACCCAGGGTATTCAATATGGGGTATGTCCAGTCTTTTTTAGTAGCCACTTAGTCGAAAACACTGGCCAAAGTAAGCATTCATATTTGTTTGTGTGTGAAAAAGTAAAAAAACTAAATTGAACGCTAATTTTGGCCAGTGTTTGTGACCAAGTGGTTACTAAAAAGACTGGACATACCCCATTTGCAATACCTTGGGTTGTCTTCTTTTGCAAATGGTATGCCATCATGGGGGTAATTCTCATTCCTGGGCTACCATACGCTCTCAAAGGCAACGTAACCAACCTGGCCATTTTCAATGTAAAAATATTTGACCCATATATTTGACCTTGTAACTTTCAAAAATGCTATAAAACCTGTACATGGGGGGTACTGTTTTACTCGGGAGACATCGCTGAACACAAATATTAGTGTTTAAAAACTGGAAAACGTATCACAACAATTATATCATCAGTAAAAGTGCTGTTTGTGTGTGAAAAATGCAAAAAAAGTAACTTTCACTGACAATATCATCACTGTGATATGTTTTACTGTTTTGAATCACTAATATTTGTGTTCAGCGAAGTCTCCCGAGTAAAACAGTACCCCCCATGTACAGGTTTTAGGGTGTCGTAGAACGTTACAGGGTAAAATACAGTGCTAGCAAATTAAATTCTCTGGAATTTCGGCCTGGGTTGGCAGGCAGGTCCCTCAAATTGCAATCAATAAAATTACTGAATTATGTAAAAATATTACATAAATACGCACATAGAATTTAAATATATATGCATATTTATATATTTGAAGTCTACGTGTATATTTATATAATTATTTATGTAATTTTGTATATGGACGTATGTATATTTATTATTTTTATTTATTTTTATATACATAGATATATATACAAATTCATTCTAAGTGTATTTTGATATAAATATATATATATTAATTTTAAAATACAGTTAGAATAAAATTTCATATAGCTATATAATTTTTTTTAAATTTTTTATTATTTAAAAAAAAATTATTTAATTTAAATTACTTATTATTTATATTTTATATATATATATATACAATATATATAGTTATTATATATATTATATATATACGTGTGTAATTTAATTATAAGTGTATTTTTATATTAATATAAGTACATATTAATATAAAAATACACTTAGTATGGCATTATATATATGATATATAGACATAAATTATATAGATATAATATATGTCTATATATCATATATACACATATATAATTATTTTTTTTTTTTTATTAACACTAACTTTATTTTTTTAATTGATTTTACACTAGCAGGGAGACTGCCTGTCAGCACAGACAGTCCCCCTGCAGGCAGACACATGGACACCCATTGTGACCATGTGATCACTGTGTTAAGCGATCACATGGCCACAGGGGTCCTAATCTGCCATGGGGAGACTGTCTGGGCTGCAGGCAGTCTCCCCACAACCGGAGCCACGCTGATCGCCGCCGGGGGAACGACGGCGATCAGGTAAGTAGCTCTGACCGTTAGGACGGTTCAGGACCGTCATCGGTCCTCAAGGCAAAAATGCCGATGACGGTCCTGAACCGTCCTCGGTCCTTAAGGGGTTAAAGCATCTGACCTTTCTCCTGCAGATCTTGCCACAGCAGCCGAACTTCTTCCTATTCTTCAGCTTGGGCGGCCATGATTGGCTGAGAGAGTCAACTGATGCTCTCAGCCAATCCCCTCTGCCCAAGCAGAGGAATAGGAAGCATTACGGCAGCCATTGCAAGGCCCAAAGAAACAGGGATGACATGAGCCAGGCACACACCTTCACTGTCAAACTGATTAAAAATATTCCCCTTGAATTAAGGAGGCGCCAGGTGCTCCTCACCTAAAAACAACTTAAAGGGACAGTAGAGTCACCAGAACAACTACAGCTTATTGTATTTGTTCTGGTGAGTATAATCATTCCCTACATGCTTTTTGTAGTAAACACTGTCTTTTCAGTGATACCTCTACTGCAGTGGTGTATCCTGGTTTTGTGCTGCCCTAGGCAGGGCAAAACTCAGACGCCCCTCTCCACACTCCCACCCCTCTCTTCCCCCTGCCCTCTATATATATATATATATATATATATATATATATATATATATATATATATATATATATATATATATATATATACACATACATACATACATACACACACACACACACACACACACACACATACATACATACACACTCACTCACATTAACACTTTTTTTATTTAACCCCCCTTTTACCTTTGGGAATGCTGGGGGGGGTTCTCTTTCTCCCTGGGAGTCCAGTGGCTGCTGGGCAGGCGGCTGGCGAAGGAGCACTTCCTCTGAGCTGTCTGCTCAGCTCCCTCGTGCACCGCAGAGTGATGCCGGGAACCGGAATATGGCGTCATATTCCGGCTCCCGGCGTCATATTCCGGCTCCCAGCCTCACTCTGCAGCTCGCGAGGGAGCTGAGCAGATAGCTCAGAGGAAGTGCTCTCTCGCCAGTGCCGCCCGCCTGCCCGACCGGCATGTCAGTTAGCCACAAGGCTAACAAGCATTTGACCATGGCATTTGGGGGCGGCTTTTTTTGCCGCCCCCTGGAAAATGCCGCCCAAGGCAAATGCCTTGTTTGCCTTGCGGCTAAAACGTCCCTGCTCTACTGGCCACTCTTCAGTTCAGCTGCGCAGTGTGTAGCACGGGCATTCAGTGTCTCCACCCTCTGCAGGGAGAAACGGAACTTTCCTCAGAGAGATGCATTCATTCAATGTATCTTTATGAAGAGATGCTAATTGGACTGGGCTGATGTTGGCTCTGCCCCTAATCTGCCTCCTTGACAAACACAACCAATCCAACGTGAAAGCATTTTTAGTGGCTCAGAACACAACTTCTGATGATGTCAACCAAGCAGGCAGATCAGAGGCAGAGTCAGCAGCAGAAGACTGCAATAAAGGTAAGATTTTACTATATTTAGGGGGGGAAAGGGGGCTAGATTCCTGTGCCAGGAATACATATTTTTGTTCCCTTACCTATAGTGTTAGTTTAATTAAGATGAAGTTGTAAAAGGGAAGACAGTGACTTTAAGTCATAATGTCCCCCCTCCCCTCACCCCCAGTTCCTTAAAGTGGACATCCTGCTCTGTAAATTTAAACTTTAACTGTGCAAAAGATAAATTCTTAATTATACATAATTTACAATAAAGGAAGTGTAAACATTAGATCTTACTTTACAGTAAGTGCTTAGGAAGGCGGTGCACATTACTTGCAGGGAGGTGTGACTAGGGCTGCATCAACTGATGATTTAACTCTTAAATGGCAGAGAATTGAGCGGTGAGATTGTAGGGACATGAACTATACACTAAAACAGCTTCATTATGCTAAAGTTGTTTTGGTGACTATAGTGTCCCTTTAACTATGCAGTGTTATGATCCTCAAACTGTTGATAAGTACCATTTGTTCTTCATATTCTGCCATGGAGGACTAGAGGATGCTGGGAGAAATGTCCCTCACCATATCCACTAACTTGTGAACTTCAAAGAATTACAGTGAATTTCATATTTTGGGGGTGAACTTAATGAACTGAGAACATTCTCTTTGAATTCCTGACCGTACACACTTTGGTGAATAACACTGTCATTATACAATGTCTGTGTACTGTTCTAACATCAGGAGCTAGTAGAATGATTTATTGGAGAATTAACTAATTCTCTATTTTTATATAAAGGGAATATACTTATTTAATGTACTACCATTTAGTTCAAAGAAAACCACAAAATGCATTTTTACTGTTTATTTTATTCTAACATAACGCTGTTTAATGTGAATGTTTAATCAAACACATTTTCAAAATTGTATTCTTCAATTTTATTTCAGAGGTCATAGAGGTGTTCGTTCCTGCATTGAATGTCTGCAGTCAGATGTGAGTCTGTAATTTAATGTGCTTTGGGGGAAATGGATATCACAAACCCGGATCTGTTTGTTCGAACTATGTCCTGTTTGTTTTGCAGATTATGGTCCGGCTTTTGATTGGAATCGGACGTCCACCTGATCATTCCTCAGTCGTGCGACATGTACTCGAACCCTTCACGAGACCTGAACAGGAGATTCTGCCACAAGTTCTGGAGCAAGGGTTAGACAAATTGCTTGCACACATCAGGCAGAGGGCTAGCATTGCCCCTGCAGAAAGCAATGTAACCATAAAGAATACAGGAAGTAGTCCCAGTAAATCCTGATCTTAATGGAAGACTTTGGGGAGAATGTTGACTGTTTTTTTGTGGTCCAGAGCTTGACTTTTGAGAAATGCCAGCTAAGACAGCCAAGTCTCTTTTAGACACATATCCAAATTTAACTTTATTTTCTGTATATTTATATATTTTTTTAATTACTACACTGGTATTACTTGAATTAAATAACTTAATGTAAATGTATTGGAAAGCCACCATATTGGCGTGTCATTGAGAGTAGCTATGTTAACTTCATATGACATAATTTGAATGATAACATGCTTAATGTTTCCAGCCCCTTCTGGTGTAAGCTGACTGATTTCAGCAGACTTAAAGGAAGATTGTAAATAGAAGACCCAGTTTACCTTGATTCTAAAAGTTTAAAGGTTTTGAGAAACATGCCACATCTACATACTTTGGAAGGACGTTTGGGGAAAATCTTATATACTGAGAAATTTCAGCACAGGTATCATCAAATGAAAACGATTACTTAAAGGGACACTATAGTCACCTGAATAACTTTAGCTTAAATAAGCAGTTTTGGTGTATAGAACATGCCCATGCAGCCTCACTGCTCAATTATCTGCCATTTAGGAGTTAAATCCCTTAGTTTATGAACCCTAGTCACACCTCCCTGCATGTGACTTGCACAGCCTTCCATAAACACTTCCTGTAAAGAGAGCCCTATTTAGGCTTTCTTTATTGCAAGTTCTGTTTAATTAAGATTTTCTTATCCCCTGCTATGTTAATAGCTTGCTAGACCCTGCAAGAGCCTCCTGTATGTGATTAAAGTTCAATTTAGAGATTGAGATACAATTATTTAAGGTAAATTACATCTGTTTGAAAGTGAAACCAATCATAGCCAGGGGAGGTGTGGCTAGGGCAGAACTAAAGTGATTTAACTCCTAAATGACAGTGAATTGAGCAGTGAAATTGCAGGGGAATGATCTATACACTAAAACTGCTTTATTTAGCTAAAGTAATTTAGGTGACTATAATGTTCCTTTAAGTATTTTCTTAGTATTAGCCATACTGGGCTGGGGTAGTAGGGAAGGGCTTGCAAAGGTCTGCAGCATTTTTTAAAAGCTGTTTCTTGATATACCGACACAGGAAAAATAAAGGCAATGCATTAACGTTTTCATTGTTGTGTATCTACTAAATAATGATATTGTAATTTTTGTTTTTAATTGGCCATCTTTCAATTGGTCATTGCTCCTCAACCACTCCAAAAAAGTGTGACAAACAAAACACTAAAGCACTAGTAAATGTATGAGTAAATTTAAAATAAAATTTTATTACTCCAAGGGCACCGTAGCCTTAGGCACCCGATTCCTGTTAGTCCTCTACTGGTGAAGTAAAAGAACATTTATGTCCTATATATATTTTATTTGTATGTGGGAAAATATATACACAGATACATTATTATTTTTATTAAAAATTGATTAATTTTATTGTTTTGATGATAGTGTCCCTTTAATGAACATGAGCCAGCTGGAGTACTACTATCCACATTCTATTCCTATTCGTGCATTTTTCTAGCCAATTTTTTTGCAATGAGTTTTTTTCCCCCAATATGTCACATACTTGCTACTAGTTGCAAGTTCTTATTTTGCAAAGAGTGGGGTCTTGTTGGCTGTTGATGGGGAGATTCCAGGCAGGGTGGTTGGTTTTATATGTTTTTCGTCCAGGCTGCGTGAAGTTATATTCTGAAAGCAAATTTGGAGAGAACTGATTAAGATCTAGAAGATAGCAGCCACAAGCAAGGCATTCATTAATCAACTATTGCATTCTAGCTCTTGTGGACTTCATTTTCCCATTAACACGGCTTTGTTTCCCGAGACAGCAGTCTGCAACAGTTGGAGTGTCAGTGATTAGTGATTATTACATATGATCTTATATTAAAGTGGATTTGTCCTCCGCGTACACCTTTACATTATGATTATGACCACCAGAAAACTCAGAATTCCTACCTATTCACTTCTCTGGACAATCTTTATTTGAAACAGAGGTTTAATAAGCAGCTGAACAATATAGAAAAATAAGTTATAGGTGACTTACATTGATCAGACTTACAGGACCGAAACAAAATATATAATCAAAATGTGAAGCCTTCACAATAGGAACCATATAGAGCTAAAACCCTTTGAGTAAAGAACATTAAGTGATGATATAATGGCTTCTAATTCATATATTTAAATTTCGGCAAAGCATTGCTGCAGGGTGGAGGTGAGAGGGTCGAGATTAAAGAACCACTAAAGTCACCCATTCATCTCAACGTAGTGGCCTAGGTGCAGTGGTCCAGTCATTTTAACCATTCAATGTAAAATACTGCGGTTGGCATGCACTCTGAGCCAGTAAAATGGTTCAATCAAATTCTTCTCTATGAGAAGCATTTGATTGGACCACAGATAATGTTGCGTGATGAAAGATGTGCCGTGGAAATGAAGCAAGGTGGTTCTGGATTCAATAAATATAATAAGAGGGGTAGACAAGATCAATAGCACATTATAATGCTATTGATACATTGTCAAGCAATTTGTTATAGTGACCCTATAAATAGCCTACATCCTCATCCCAGTGGTGCTGTGTAGTTGGTGGTTGGTAGCTTATTTTGTCATGGAGCCGACCTATAGGATTGTAATTAATGAACAAAAATCAGTTGGAAATTTTCTTTAACATCAGACTAGCTATATAGTGGGTATATACAGCTGGGGTTAATTTTTTTATTACGTGTGCAGCAGACCGAAGATGTAAAATTATTTCTTTCTATAAATGTCCCAGTTCATGTGAAGATCTGCATTACTATGATGCTTTTATTTATAATTAATTTTTATATGGCGACAACATATTCCACAGCTCTTTACAATTCTGGAAAAGGAAGAAGGACCAACTAACCGAGCTTATAATATATGAGGATTTGAGGTATTCAGTTATATAGTTGTGTGTTTTAGCCCAGGGACACTTACTGGTAAGGTGGTCTGATCACCTATTGAACCTGGGTTTTTTAAGGCAGTGATATCTGACATGATAGATCTGTATTGGGGTGGGGGGAAGTTTGTATGAAAGGTTGGACATACAGAAGTGGCATCGTTTTGTAAAGTGTGTATCTCTGTATTGAGTAGCTAAACACTACTTCCATGGCATAAACTGCAAGATCAGATTGTCCCAGGAGGAACATCAGTGGTGACCATGGATTTGTTCTGTCCAGCATTTGGAGAAGTACATTCAACCTTTTCTAGAGGGCCCCTGGTTTTGGATGTTTACAATAATGACATTCCACCAGCATGACTTGTGGCATAGATAGCACAGAGAACCCCCAAATTGTCTTTTTTGAATCCTGGACCTTTTAGTTACATAAAAAAAATAATAATCAGCAATTAATCAGTGAGAAGAGTAGGATTGCAAGTTTCATCTTGTAACGTGTGATATCTTACGGCTAAAATATTATAATATAATCGGACAGGCAATGAATATAGTTTCTTTGTTTTTGGAAACTAGTTTAAAGTAATATTCGTATGGGAAAAAGAATGTACCTTTGGAATATGAGGATTCCCCCGCAATGGTCCGAGCCTTGTGGTTTTAGAGAGCATTCCAACCTTGCTCTGCATTGCTGCAGATATGTCGTATCTGGGCACCAGTCCTAAATCTCCCATCCGATAGTGAGGGACAATACCAGGGCCTTTCAATTCTGGGGATTCCAGAGCTCTGCGAAGATAGTATGGTGTGACCATGATCTGTACTTTATTCCTTGGCATTAAAGGACTTTTTACTTTTGTTACCTTTATTTTACTATATGTAACAATTTAAATAAAATGTACACTTTTTAATGAAAAATCTATTTTATTTTTTACTCTACCTGTTGACCTTTGGTGCTGTGCGGTATTCTGCGGAATGGGTGCCTGTCCTTTCAAAGTCCTGGAGTTTAGGGCCCAGGCCCAGGGTTGCTGCACTATTTAACAATATAAGGAGATTCTGGAGCATCTGGTTTCTTCTCACTAAAAATTGCAGTTCAGTGTCTTCTCCATGTTCCATTGGCATCTCCTGAAAAGATAAGAGCACTGTATAAGAGAGCACACAATCATCAGCCCAGACGGTATCTGTTTTAACACGAAATCCTTACACAAACATCTCATACAGCAAGTAACCAATCACATGGCTGTTATCGTCAAATTGTATAGTAGAATTGAAGTCAATTGTTTAATTTCTTACAGTGTTAATTTTGGCGGCCAATTTCAATTTAGTTTTAGTCATAGCCATTTGACTAAAAATCAGTTTTAGTCATATTTTACTCATCTGAATTGTTTGTCTTAGTCGACTAAATCTACTGGAGATTTTCGTTGGCACGACTAGAATCTAATGGGTTTAGTTAAAGCTTCTGTTTCCTTTGCCCCTGGCCCAGCCCCTCTGAATTTAGCCTGTTTAGGGAAGACATACTTTGACACCAAACACCTCATGTAAGTTTTAAACTTCCAATGTTTATAAATATTGCTGATAAGCTGCTTGGTGAGAGATTGCTATAAATGGAAGATATTCTGTCAGCTTTGCCTTCAGTATGGCTACCTTGGCCTTAAAGGACAACTGTCATCAAATTCTTACTTACATATATCAGGCCAAAATAGCAGAGCTGAAAACATAAGTCTGTTTAATAGTTTTTCTTATCAGCTATTTGAGCCTGAGATTTGCAATTCACAGCTTAGTGAATAATACTGGAGTTCCACCATGATTAATTATAATTTCTATCTCTTTGTAGACAGCTCAGAATGATGTTAAATGATTATATTTATATACCATGGTGCTTTTTGTTGGATGCTGAGTAAGTCACATCCCTAGGTATATAGGCCAAACAGAGTATGGGGTGAGTTGCTTGTGTTATATATGCTCACCAGGAGAACATCTTTCAGAGAGGTTGCTGCTTGACCCAGGACTTTATCTACCGATTCCCGTCTTCTCCTCTCTTCCTCGAGCTGTAGGTTTAAACTTTTTGTCTCCTGCTTGGCCGCCTGCAATTCTTCCTCTATTGCAGAACTTTTTAGCCTGAAGAAGATAAAACAAAATAGCATCTGAAGAATACATAGATACTTTCAGGATACTCAAACAGGTTTGTATTCCTGGAACTTATAGTATCCCTTTAAGTACATTTTCCAATTTGCATTTCAGTTTTCTCCCAAGGGGATCATTTATAAGTTTCAAAGTCATTTAGACTAAGGGCTGAACCTGATGGAACACTATTGTCACCAGAACAACTATAGCTTATTGTATTTGTTCTGTTGAGTATAATCATTCCCTTCAGGCTTTTTGCATTAACACTGCATTAAAGGCAGTGTTTACATTACAGTCTAGAGACATGTCCACTGGCCACTCCTCAGATGGCTACTAGAGGTGCCTTCTGGGGCAGTGCTGCACAGTGTGACTACCATTCAGACTACCTCTGCATGCAGACATTGAACTTTCCTCATAGAGATGCATATATTCAATACACTGCTATGAGGAGATACGGATTGGCCAGGGCTGTATTTGACTCGTGCTGGCTCTGCCCCTGATCTGCCTCCTTGACAGTCTCAGCCAATCCAATGCTTTCCTATGGGAGTGATTGGCTCAGAACACCACTTCTGATGATGTCAGCCAAGCAGGCACATAAGGGGCAGAGCCAGCACCAGCCGACTGGAATAAAGGTAAAATGTTACTATATTTAGAGAGGGGCTAGATTGTGTTTTAACACTATAGGGTCAGGAATACATGTTTGTTCCTTTAAAGTTCTCCAATCTAAATTTAAGAAAATATATATTTTATTCAGTCTACTCCTCTTTCCTCATCAAAGTATGCTGAACCAGTATTGTACTGTGGTGTTAGGTGGAATGAGAGCAGAACAAATAAATCTGTTTATGAGGCGATCCGGCATAGATAGCCTTACCTTCTTTAAACATCTTATGCCCTGGATTATCAGCTCAATCATAATTCAAAAAGGCTTTAGGCATTTCTAAACAGTGAGTTGACATATGATTTGCAAAATGTTGGCTAAAACATCTGAATAGGAGACAAAATGTCTGCGACTTGGCTACTTTGCCCTATATTTCTTAAATTTGTTGGGCACCAACAAGAGGACATAGTCTTAAATTAGAGGATCAAAGGTTTAAAAATAATATCAGGAAGTATTACTTTACGGATAGAGTAGTGGATGCATGGAATAGCCTTCCAGCTGGAGTGGTAGAGGTTAACACAGTGAAGGAGTTTAACCCCTTAAGGACACATGACGTGTGACATGTCATGATTCC